GTCAAAGAAGAAGGAACAACATAATTTTATATATCAAGGGTTTTCAAAGGAGATATGTAAGGATTGAATTCAAATCTTGGATTTGTATCAGCTGTAATGTTTATTGGAATGTGATAGAGAAAATTCCAACTTTTTAGCGTATAAAAAGAGGAAAACAGACCAAGAGCAAAAATGCACAGGAAAAAAATCTACCCTCCTCCAATAAGCATAACCTAAGCCTAGATATGAACAGTTTATCTTAATTACGGCGGTAAAAAAGTGGAATAATATTACAAGGGAGGGGGGAAAATAGAGAAAGAAAGAGAGGCTAGGGCAGGTTCAACGTTCGTGAGGAGTCCAGAGGAGACGAAGCGTTCCTGATTTTTTTCCCAGGAACGCTTGGAGGAGAGGATCGCAGCGGTTTTTGCAGTCACTGGTGGACACAAAGCACTCCAGCGCAGCAGTTGCAGTCGTCCAAGGACAGACCCGATCGTAAATCTTGGTCCCACGGAGTCGTCCTCGAGGGGTCAGCATCATCACGAACGGGGGTGCCATATGCCAACCCAATGGTATCAATGCAAGTCCAATCCGTTTTAATACCATATAACGAGATTATAATCCACATACCAATACTCAATAAAAATACAAAGAAATTAACAATTAAAAAAAAGAAAATTGAAAAGGAAGAAAACATATAAGGTCCAGTCGAAAAATACGGGGGATGAAAAAAAATTACAAGAATATTTTTTCATAACTTAGGACGAAATAGCTAGTCCCCAAAGCGAAATGATAATTATATTCCAATAAAAAAAAAAGTTTTATCGTATGAAGTATTAAGAATGAAATTAAAAATAAGAATGAAAAGAATCGTAGGAGTTAAATTTTGAACGAGGAAAATTATCTGTTTAGTTTGGAATTTATTTAACCACAGTTCCGATAAAAATTAATTATTTTCAAATTTATTAATCAGTTATGGTTAATCATTTATAATAAACAATTTATTCGTACTAGCGATATCTAATTCGTATTATTGATTTTTATTAACGTATTAATGAACTATTCTCTTCTATAAATATTTTTTATTTCGTTTTTCTCTAACATACCTGAAAACTCTCCAAAGATTTGAAGATTTTAATTTTGAGTAATACATTTTAATATTTTCACATCGATTTCTAAATTCGACAAAAAGTATATTTCCTCGATTTATCATATCTCTTTAATATAATTACGCAATCAATATGTATGAAGGAGAAAAAAATTGTAAGAACGTTTAATTATTAAAATTTCGGATGGAATGGCTAGTTATCAGAACCATAACTATATTCCAATAAAAAATGTGCTGTTTCGTGTAAAGCTTGTGAGAGACATTATCAAATATAAACTGAAAATAATGATAATTTATAAATTGAGGAATTATTTTTCTAGGATCGTAGGAGTTAATTTTTGTATAAAGAATGTTGTATATTAAGTTTCAAATTATTAAACCGCGGTCGTGATAAAAATTGTTTCCTTTCAGATTGCAGATTCCATCATTAATTAATTATGATACGTTAATTTCGTATTAATTTCTTATTCGTGGTGTTAATGAGGTGTTCTCTTCTATAAATACTAATTCCTTTTTCTATTAATTTACATTTTAATGTTTCATTGTTTCCTCGTTAATTTCAAAACCGGCCAAAAATTACGTTTCTCCATTTTTATTCATCATCCATATTTACTATACTTCGAATTTATTTTAAAAGAAATACCTGTATAAGAATACTGTAAGGAAGATTTTAAGGCATGTAAAATATGATAGAGAAATAAAACAAATATCAATAATTCACAAATAACTTGATTGAAACATTCGATTAAAAATTATCTGATCATGTAGCAGTCATATTAGATTATCATCTCTTCGCTGTAATTCGGCGGAACAGAATATGAAGTATCGATAGTTACGAGAAATCCCAATCGATGCGGAGTAAAATAATCACAATTAAAATTGCGAAATAAGAAACAGTAATGATCATTAAAATAGCGATCACTAATTGAATCAAGGCAACGATAATAAAAATTTAACCGTGAAAGAGATTGTCTTGGTTAACACCCATAGAGATAGACCCGAGATAATATTTTCATACGAAACCGGTCCTGTCCGGTAACGGTGTAGTATGAACATAAATTTGGATTGAATAATTCACCGGACCTAATGCCAAGGGGGTATTAGTTTTAGGCGATCACAACTCACACAGCGCTCCGAAGCAAGTGCCGTTATAGTTCTGTCTGTCCCCGTTCCGGCATTCTTAAAAAGGATTTAAACCACGCTACGAGTTATGGCCGTATAAAAATAGTAAAAAAAAAAAAAAGGAATAATAACTGTAAAAAAAAATCAAGCTTCAACAAACGATTCTTTCCAGTATTAGTAGCCATTGAATTGAATAATGGATAATGAGAAAAATTATATATATATAATGCATCGAAGTTAGTGATAGAGAAACAATGTCACAGCTAACAGGAAATAAATCTATTAAAGTAAGACGAGACTGTCGATGCCGTCTTCTCGCCCGAGAGGTTTCCCAAGGGAACATACTCAGGCCATTCACGTAGCCCACAGATTCTCACGTGGAGCAGTCGGTATGGCGGCGGGAAGAGGGGTGAAGAATTGATTCTTGGGTGGAAAAACTTTTCCATATAAATCTAAGTATTTAAATTAAATAATTATATACAAACATACAAATATATTTACCTTTATAATTACGTATTTATTTTTATAATAAAATACATATTAGATGCAAAATGTACAAAAAAAATTGCATTAAAAAAAACTTAAATTGATTAAATATTTATGCTATTAACTTTACTAACAAAAATACAGCTGGATACTCTATGTTAGCCCTCAATCTTTACAATCTTCGCGGAGCATGTCTTTTACTGGTGGTATTTATATCAAAAGTGATTTAAACTGATCAAGTTCAAATGTAGAAAACTAATAATAAATTTTTATGAATATTTCTTCTGAGGCAGCAATTTTCACGTAATTATCAAATTTTCAATCAAGCAGATAATATCATACACTCGATCGTATGAACTTTTATTAAAAAATGTTAAATATATCTTTATTAATATGTTTTTAATAATAACAAATTGTTAAAATGTGTTTTCTGCGATTATGATATGTTTAAGGTATGCTTTCGATTAAAATAAAAAAATTGCAAAAATAACGGTTTTAAACAGAATATAACTATTTACTGATTACAATATCTTACACAGAAATACTGGAAATAAAACGCGACGTGTCTTTGAATAATAATAATGATAATAAATATAAAATCAATAAAAATAAAACAGTAAATTTATTACAATATTTAAATTATTAGGAGATGTGCATAAAATGTAGAATGATATTAATTGTGTAACAAAAACATTTTTTTTTTAAAGCTTTTCCAGCGCTCACTTGCCTATCATTTTTATAATTCAGTTTTGATTAAGATCTTCTGTAACAGTAGTAATATAGGTCTTAGTAGTCTCCGTTAATAAAAGAAATTATTATAAAATTATCCAATTTTCACCACTTAAAGGCATCTTCGGGGATACAATCTGATTTTATAACATTTTGTCAGTGTTGATCTGAAAAATACATAAAAAAATAACTCAGAGGACTTACTGGCAGACACTAGTCCATTGCGTATAGCGATGCCTTGCCTTGCAAAACTAATCCAGTACAGCCAGAATTAGAGTTGCCCAAATGCGACGAGTTTTGGTCTTGAGCACTCAGTCTTGGTCCTGGTCTTGGTCTTGTGGAAGTATCGTAGTTGCCTATTAGCTCATTACTGTAGAGATATTACTGTAATTTTTTAGATAGGAGAAACCTAACTAAGCTCGAATGAAAAATTAGAATAGTTGAATGCAAAAGTGTGTAGTTTATACTAATTATATATAGTATTTTTCCTTTTATTTTAACTATTTTTCCTTAATTTTATTTTCTTAATTCTGAATTTATTTACCAGTCTTTGTGTTGGTCTTGCAACAGTTAAGTTAGGCGGTCTTGTTTTCGACATTGTATAGTGCAAGAGCAAGTCTGATTTTGGGCAACACTAACCAGAATAAGACTATTCCTTCCAGGGAAGAGTTTCCAACATCAAAGTAAATTGAAAATACTCTTTATCGAAATCATATTTGTAATATAATATTTTTTATTATTTATTATTTTTTTATTATTAACTTTTTATTTCAGAAGAAAAATACATTTTGCCTAAATTAAGGGCATTGAGTATTTGGGATGTATGAAACACAACCATACTAATATTATTTAGATGTCCAAAACCCGTGTATGTCGTCGTTTGAAATCATAAAAAATTCAATCATTTACAAGTTGTAGAATGATACTAATAATAAATAATAAAAGCATTGTACAGTAAAGTATTTTTAACACCTTTAATCCTCACAGAATGTTGTGAATGGAGCATAGACAGCTATATAAATTTCATGTGAGCCATGTTTAAAAAAAAAAAAGAGAGAAAAACCATAACCGCTTAAGGTAACAATTAAAGGTAGGAACGGACTGAGGCCCTATAAGGGACGGAAGGATGCTGTTTAATTAGATACTATCACATTTAGAAGCGACCGTTACTCCATCCAGCCACCCCGCTCCGAGACCTCTGGCCTGATTTGGAAATGGTCAGGTTCATCCTATCCATTGCGCAAGTTATGCCATACCGAAGCTGTCTGCAGGTAGCTCAACACTAAAACGAGAAAGCGATCATCCTGATAATGAGCCCATGAACACCAAGGGATAATTCGGAGTTCGCTTAGTGAGCAAAACTAATCTCCAATAGAGCAGGAACCCAATCTCCGACGTTTCGTTTCTGTAATGTTGTTTTTTTTTCTATTTCGCAACTCAGACACGAAATCACAAGAACAATAATTTCCTACATCATAGGCAGACGTGGAATAATGGAAACCTGGAATTTCTTCTCATATCGGCGATAGGAAATAAAGCCTTCTCCGGCAGTGAACGTGAAATCTCGTCTCTTCTTTTTTTATCTGTTTTGTTTTGTTTTTTGTATTCCGCGAGAATCCAGCACGGACACATTTCTGTGGTTATCTTCGAGGCATCGAGCGGCTTGTGGTCTCATTTTGAAGCATGTGGACGAGTCACGAGAATCCCGACCACTTTTCTCTACACATGAAAATAATTAGATATTTCTGTACATACATAATCTGTACATTCAATCGATAATATTAATTATAAAATACGAACATTTTTTCTAAATTAAAATGTTTTTAAAGTAGGAACTATTATCAACTACGCAGTCATAACCAAATCAGTACGGTACAACTTTTTCACAAACATTACGTATATATTTTTTTTTAAGTTTCCTAACCACCGAACCGTTTTCGTCCACCACGGTCAGTTGATTTAGTGGTTTCCGCAAACAGAAGTTTGTGGTACACAAAGTAAGGAATCACAAAAAAAAAAAATAGTTTGAGAAAAAAGCATGAATCGACAATACGAGATGACTGTATGATGCGGAACCACAAAGACTTTCACTCCATAAGTGTAACATATCCAAAGTACATTGAAATGGGTCAGACAAGCGAACAACTCGCTACTGAAATGTTACCGATAAATACGAAGACAAGGATAACAGGTTACAGTAACGTTTTGTTTGTAACTATTATGAAGTATGGTTTAACTAGTATACTCCTGTGAGAACTCCCACATTATATAGCCATCCCCTTCCCAAATTCTATCAAAATAGTCTATTCAAACATGAAATTTAAAACAACAATTTAATTAATAAGTGATCATATTGTCCCATTGGAATATACCCCTTCAGTTTAATAGTTGTTTTTTTTTCAATGTATTTTATTAAAGTTGTAGAGGGAATTTAATGATTGACGAAATTGAGATAGGCCGCTTCTTCATGAACACTTTCGTTTGACACCCCATTAACAGTTTATGAATTAGCATTGCTCCTGAGAGCCAGTAAAGATATAATACTACCGTATTATTTGAGTGGCCTCGTATCAAAGAAGGGCATCTGCTATTTTCAGAAATTGAAGAAAAAGTTCATTTTTGTTTTATAGGTTTAAATCTATTTCTAATGATTTTTTTTTTTTTTTTTTTGAGAATGATCTAGTTGAATCATGAAAAATAATCAACTCAAATTTTTGAAAATGGCAGATGTTCCTCTTTGGTATGAGGTCACACATGTATATTTTATATTAGTAAGGATTTTTTCTTATCTGGAAGTGAGTAAACATAAGTAGGTTCACAGGCTAAGATATCTTTCCTTTTAACGTATCTTATAATCATGTAGTTACCTAGTCCACTAATCGATGTAGTACCACTAGTTACGAATGCCAATGATGGAGATCTCTGGGAAGTAGCGGACGACGATGGCAGTGAGCCAAATTGTTAACAGCCGACCGGGACATGCCTTCTTGCCAATTTGTATTGTTGCGGCTCGACCGTTTCTTATGTTCCTTGCTAATTTTCTCAACGGACAATGGAATCTCCTCGTGGTCTGCCATTGGGGATCGGGAAACAGCGCTGGGAAACGATGAGAGGAATCTATTTGGTGTTTATAATATCAACCGCCCATAAAGTTAAATGTTTCAATAAACCACTGTTGAATATCTATGCCCCGGAGGTAAAGAACAGCATATCCATTTTTTTATTAAATAATTTATTAGCTAAGAAAAGAAATTTAACAACTCAACGCTATGGAAAATAGTTTCCTCGAATAAACACAAAACTGTAATATTTTATAAAAATATTATCTCTAGAGCATAGATTTAATTACTAAGAAACAAATTTTAATAGCTCAAAGTTATGAAATATTGGCTTCCATAAACAAATACATAAATAGACGAGGTGTTCCTTACATTCAGGGTACAGATATATTAAAACAGTGTATATGGTGAATATCGATTCAGGAAAAACGGCCTATATGTTTTGAATAATAAAAATCAATTATATAGAAACATCGATTCTAAGAAATAGTTCTAGTTGAGCTGACTTTCGTTGCTTTCAAAGAAAACTAAAACAGATCCGGTAGTTTCTACAAGACCAAAAACTGATCAACTCGAAACTATGTCTACAGAAACTGCAAAACGGGTGTTAAGGGAAATTCTTAATGACTATAGGAAAAAAGGAGAAAAGAATTACGGAAACAGGATACGCATATAAGGTAGCAATAGGACGTGGAAGGAAACAGTGCTCAGAGCTGATGTCGAACATTTCATCAAACTACTTCCTTTAATGCTTGAATAAAGTCGCTCTCAAAGGCTATAGTGGGAACCGAACGAGCTGTGGAAATCCGCCAATACACCTGTTCTAAGTTGTCCTATTATCCAGAATAGAAAGGAGTAGATAAAAGAGGTGTCACATTCTGTGTACAGTTGAGAAATCCCATCATCAAATAGCGTAACAAAAGAGATCATGTTTTTAAGAAGATATAAATCGACAAGTTAGGTTGAACACGAGAGTCGGCCATCGCCACCACGGTGTCTAAGCAGCCAGTTCTATTCAGTAACAAAGAGATGTGGGTGATAAATGCTTGCGTGTCTAAGCATTACAAGTTGTCTTTATCCTTGTCAGCTGCTGAGGATCAATTCACCGGACAACTATAGCGATTCATAATGAAGATAAGCGATCAGATTAGGCAACCTTAGTGAACACTCCTTTATATTATTAACATTAATATAAATTATTAAGAAGGATTCTGCAATGTTTATAAACAACTCTTTTACGAAAGAAAAATTAAATGTATATATTTTTTTTTAATAATGATACACGAATATTCTATGGCAAACTTCGATGAAAGTAAAAATCGGACATGTATACTATGAGCGAGAAAATTATTCACCATTTCATCCTCTCATTAATAAGCTATTATTCAATGTTTTTTTTCAACGCAATGCCTTGTTAGAAAGGGGAAAAGGGAAAAAATATTGCGGAAAACCAAATAATAACGATGGAAGATATTAAATGGTTTTATGAAAGATATTAAAATATTTCAGAAACTAAAAATCGGATCTGCACACTGTAGGCAAGTGAAGTTCAGCATTTCATCGTCTTTAAAATGAGCTGTTATTTATAATTTATGTTTCATATTATTAATCTTGCCTTGTTGATGTTTTCATTTCTATCGTTTGGTCTGAAGCATACACTTAATTTTTTTTTTTTTTTTCATAGACTATACGAATAAATATGTTTCTAATGTGGGAGTTCTCACAGTCATCATACAACACGACAAACGTTTTAAATTTAGCAAGCAATATTGTATTAGAACTATCTGTGGATATATTCATTTTTGCATATTTTATCTATTATATTAAAATCGAAAAACCATCTTGACCTCCATACAAACAGGGTGGCTATTCCATACAATGCACTCCTCAAGGTAACCTATCGACTCAAGTGAATATCCCAATTCCAGTAATGCCGGCCATATTAGAAGAAGAGCTTGATGGATGCTAAGTCTAAAGCAAACACTTTTTTTTTTCTTTTCCTTTTTGTTTTTTCCTTCAGCATTTATGTGAATTATTTTTTTCTTTTCTGACGATGCCTGAATAGTCAGGTTAATTATTCACTTGTATGTTAGAGACTTATGGTTTTATAATTAGGATTTTTCCATTTATAATATTACAAATAATACACATTGTCCAATAGATTAAAAAAATACGAGTATAGATTAAAAAAAAAATCGACAAATATTGTTGAGAGAGACAAAGGAATAGTTGGAGGAACCCGTTCCAGTTGTGTAAGAATAACGTTTTCCCCGACGAGAACTGGGAGTAGTGTTAATGGCCCGGAGGCATGTCCTTAGGCCGCGCAATAACTGCAACAAGGAACAGATGGAAGTGCTGCTTGTCTTTTTTAACTGTCTTTACAAAACTGTTCATCAGAGCGTTGAGGCTAACGGGTCTGCCCTCTAGCGGCTACCTGCCGCCTTCCAAATTTCTTTTTAACAACCTGCGAAATAAAGAATGCACCTGAAGAAGGAAAAACGTAAAAACGAGCGAAGAGAAACGAAAAGAATGAGAGTCCTTCTCCAGTTATTATCTTAGAGCATTGTTCGACGGGAATAAGGCACGTCCAAGTTTACCGTCAAGTTCAAGGGTAAACGGAAGATCATCAGCAAACGTATATGGTGTGTGCTTAAGACTACACGATATAATAAAGACAACATAGAGGCGGGATTAATAATATGAAATATAAATATTCGTTTTTTGTTCTATATCCACAAAGTAATAACATTTACAATATATATGTAATTATAATTGTGTATTTTATATTCTATAATCAAAAAGTAATAATTTAATAATTCACAATATATAAAATTTCAATTGTGTATAAATTACTCTGGTAAACTTTGCTCTGACTGATTTGCCATTTGTATCATACACTAAAAATGAAACAATATGATTATGATGACTAAAAGATTCGAAAGCAAAAGAAAATCTAATAGATTAACATAATTTCTCATTTTTACGGCTAAATAAAAAAAATATTCTAATTGGCATCTGCAAATTGATTTCTGAATTCTTCATGGTATTTAAATTCTGAGATATTTTAGTTTAAATCTTCAAAACAGTTCGTATTATTTGGGGTTGGGTAAGCAGTCGACTGACCAATTATAAGGATGAAAGAAAATTTGAGAAGAATTTCAGTCAAGATATTTTTATTTGATTAGCCGACGTTTCGACCCAAATATATTGGTCATCCTCAGAGCGACAGTTTGGAATGTTTGGAAGTCCAGATAAGAACAGTTCTTGCCTTGACTTCCAAACTACGGCCCTGAGGATGACTCACATATTTGAGTCGAAACGTCAGCTGACCCAATAAGAATATTTTGACTGAAATTCTTGTCAAATTTTGTTTCATCATTATTATTTGTTTTTTTGGGAGGGAGGGGCTATATTTTTCCCTTTCCGACTTTTTAACTCGGAGGCACATCAAAATACAATTTACAAGCGCATTACATAGAGGATGTGATGCTGAACATTTCCATCGCTTACAGTATGCAAATCCGATAGTATAAATAAATATTAGAAATAAATGTTGAGATAAAGAGATGAAAATTATTTTCAAACATAATTTTTTTAAATATTTTATAAATAATTTTTTATGGGCAGACTTGTCGGCATAAAAGGAAATTATTGTTTTAAATAGCTTGGTGAGAAGTTAACCAAATTAAAAATTATATTTATAAATAAAGCATACCAAAAAAAAAAATAAATAAATAAATCCTCGGACTAAAATTTGAATGGCAAGAAAGATTTCTTTTTAAAACTAACTCGTTTTGTTTTAATGGAATATGTACAAATAAAATAAGAAAATACTATCAATATTAAAATAAAATTTAATTTGCGCATATAAATGTTTTCAAAAAAAATAATAATAAATACATAACGTACTGGAGTAATTCAGGTACGTGGATTTTGACAAGTGTGATGTTCAACAAAGGGGAATAGCAAAAAAAAAAAACTGATATAGGGCCAGTTGTAGAATTGGAATTCAAGTCAAGTTCAAGCTTGAACTACAGTCAACCATAAAATCATGAATGATTGACTGTAGTTAAAGCTTGAACTTGACTTGAACACCAATTGTACAACTGGCCCATAATGGAAGTAAATGAAATCAAGCAATCTTGACCCTGCAGCATAAGTCCGACAAAATCAATCTATGCAACAAAGTTGAATTAACATTGATGGCAAGTGAATGTATTCAGGTCGCAAGACAATTAGACGAAAGTGGGATAGCTCGGTAATAAATGAAACGCGCCTATAAGCCATTAAGTCAGCCATTACAGGCTTGTTCCAGTGGCGCACATTTTCTGGGGAGGCAGGTAATAAAAACATAATTCCGATTGTTTTAATCGTATTTTATAGTACCTATATTAATATGCAGAGGCGTGCATAAAATTATATTCAAGCGTGTAATCTAGGCATGCTAGTCAAAAGTTTGATAATTTAAAAACTATTATTATTTATTTTTTAAATAAACATAATATGATTTTAGTTACGCAACCGAATGTTTTTTACTTTCACTTACCAATATATACAATATAGAGTAAGAAAAAGCGATCGTGAAAATGTTCGAATTTGAGTTTTCAACGGAAATACACGTTTTGAGTTCTCCTGAGTCCAAATAATCGAGTCTTGGAAAATGGTATTTGGTATGTGTAAACAGTCTAGCTCAAAACCGAAAAGTGGTATTTAAGATAGGTATATGGCTTGAGTGCCACAGCAATTTATTCCTTAAAATCGGCTAACCGGAAGTGCCACTTTATATCAACGGTGAAACATTTTTTTTCTCAATTAGTTATATAACCAAGATTTTTTAAATAATTCGAAGAAAGTATTAACTTAGATCTTTCGAGATAAATTATAGGGATCGTTTTTCAACTTATATGCCATTTCCGTTCTCGCATTACAGAAGCAAAGAATAAAAAAAAAAAAGAAATTAAATCCAAAACTGGTAATTGGTTGGCTTGAGAGATAACGGATTCGAAAAATGGCGCGAA